AGTACGCAGGGAAGAAAGTTGTCTGGCCCCCCCATGTCCGTTGCCGTTGTCCAATATAAAAAAAATAAAGTTTACTTTACCCGGGGCAGGGGAATGAGAGAGGTTACATACATGGGCGCAAGCGTGCGCATCAGGTATCGCCTAAAAGCGGGCTTGTCTCCCGCGCGGAGAAGCATCTCTCTCCCTCTCCCTGTCCTCTGGAGAGAGTGGTGGCTTGACGTGGGCGTTGGCGTTGGGCGGGCGCTGGGCGTTGGCGTGACTGTGGGCGGGCTGGGCTGCTAGCTGGCTGGCTGATGTGTTGAGATGGAAGGCATGGGGAAAGGCAGATCAAAGATAGGAATGATTTGATACAATGAAGAACGTAGTGGGGCATCAGACAAGACAATGGGATGTTTCGATGCAGCTTCTGGTCATCACAGCGGCAGAGAGCAGGAAGAGCAGCATCAGAAGGGTGAGCAATAGTGGGCAAGCGGATGCGCAGCAGGCGATCGTGTACCATCTAGAGTAACTAGAGATACCACGGATGTGATATCGGGCTTGTCAACAACTCTGGCACCTGCACCAGCTACCCTCGAGCACATGAGAAAACAGTCGAGCACTGGCGGCGGCTTTGGCCGGAGCAGGTCGGAGCCAACCCAGCTCGCCCTCCTTCTCCTTGTTCGCCACCTCACTCTCGATCTGCTACTCGAGGAGCGATCGGTGAGACATGTTCACACGAATGATGTACGCAAGGGAGGACATAGTTGAGATGGGCATGCGGATGGGTAGGGGGAGTGTGGGCTTGCGGGTAGGCAGAGCCGGGTAGGCAGAGCCGGAGCGGGGGCTGAGCCGGGGCGCGTCATCCTCACAGCTGAGTACAACATGGCGGGTGAGGGGCATGGCGGACAGATTGCCGACGTTGGCAGGGCGTGCTGTGGCTAGCAGGCTAGTTGCGGGAATGAGTAAGGTATCTGCAGGGTCTGCCTTTTCAGCGGCGGTACACTCGAGTCAGGGCAAGGGCAAGGGCAAGGGCAAGGGCAAGTGCGGCGAAGGTGGGCATGACGGCGACGGGCCGGTGGTGATGACGGTGGGCGAGGTGAAGGACGAGGCATCTCTCCCGTTCAAGTATCGGATGGCTCGGCGTGTGGGGCGGATGCTCGGCTGGTTTTCAACCGAGTCTACGGCAATCCGGGCTTCCAAGCCGCTGATGGCGGCGTTCTCGGCCATGGGCGACGATGTGCAGATTCGGGCGCGGGTGGGCCTGCCGGCAGACGACTCTTTCCGGGCATGGTATGGGCTTGTGGTCCTGCAGACGTGGATGTACATGGTACGGATGCGGACCGAGGGGTCGTATGGCGCGCAGATGCGGCAGGCGCTCTTTGACTCGCTGTGGGAGGAGGTCGAGGTTCGGATCCGGGCGACAGGCATCACTCAGGACTCGCTTCTGGCGCGCAATGTCAAGGATCTGCTGGGCATGTTCTACGGCGCAGCTGTCGGCTACGACGAGGGCTTTATCGGCGACGACACAGTGCTGGCGGCGGCGCTGTGGCGCAATTTGTACTCGATGTCGCCCAACGTCGAGGCCAACGAGCTCGCGCGGATGGTCGACTACGTCCGAGCGCAGATTGCGCACCTTCAGACGCTCCCCCCGGAGGAGGTTCTCTCGGGCGACTTTGAGTTCCCGACGCCGCCGACGTTTCGCCTGTAAGCAGAGCACGCGGAAGGGGGGTGAAGGCTAGTCCGAGCCGAGCTCGCCTTCCTTGGCCGAGCGCACGGTCTCGATCTGCTCGAGGTAGCCGTTGACGACGGCCTCGAACTCCTTGACGGTCAGCTTCCAGTACTCCTTGGGCATAGTCTTTTCGAGGGCTTTGAGGTGCTTCATGCCGTCGGTCCGAGCGGCGCGGACGGCAACACGGGCGTCCTCGCACCAGGCCGCGAGCTGCTTGAGCCGCTCGCGGCGGAGCTCGGCCGTCACCTTGGGCACCGGCACGTGAAGCCCGCCCTTGGCCGGGACCGGGTTGAGGTTTAGCCCTGCGGCGCGGATGGCCTTCTCGGTCTCGGAAGTCAGAGACGGATCAAAGAGCGTGACCGAGAGCATGTTGGAGCCCTTAGTAGCGACCTGGGCGATGTGGGCGAGCGGAGTCGGCGCGCCGTAGGCATCAACCCGCACCGAGTCGAGAAGCTCTGGCGCAGCTCGGCCAGAGGAGAGGCCCGTGACTCTCCGAGCAAGGCCCTCAACAGCATCTTCCATACCAAGCGCATACTCATCAGCATCAAACCCATCATCGTCATCATCGCCTTGACCACCATCATCACCACCATACCCATCCTCGTCCACAAACGCCTCGTCATGGTCGACACCCCTCCGCGCCGTCCAACCGCAGCTGACCAAGCTCCTCGCCCTTCCCTCGCCCACCATACGCATGACACTACCAAGTCGCACAACACGGAACATATGTATATATGTGTGAGTGGGTGGGTGATGTCAGTGAGGTATGACGAGTCTACCATCTGTGTAGTGTGGGAAGGGGGGGCTGAGGGGTGCGACCCGGCGATTCGAAGCGGGGTGGGGGGTGGGTATGGGCATGATGATCATGATTGATTTTGATGAGTGTGTGGACATGATGGGGATGGAATGGAGAGAAGGGTGCATGAGGGTGATGGATCATTGGGGTTGATGGTGGGTTGTGGGTGGTGGAGGGGGTGGAGGGGTGGAGGGGGGTGGAGGAGGGACGGAGGCTGTGACTGGGACCGGGACAAGGGGGGTTTGTCTGAGCACCTGACTCTCCGCAAGGACCATGTCGCGACACAGAGATGTGCGCAACCTAAATGCGGACGGTATGTCGTGTGTGTGGGAGGGTGTGCGTGGGGGTGGGGTGGGGGGGGGGGGGAGTTCATGTTGTGTCTCTTTGTGGTTTTTGTCAGAATGGACTGCTGGTATGTCGGGAGGTCGGGTTGCGGGGAAGGGTATGGGGGTTGGTTTGGGGTTGGGGAAATGGAAGACAGGGGGGAATGGTGTGTACTTATGATGTCTATGTTGTTGGTATGGATGTGGGTGGATGTGGGGACGTGACTATGGACGGGGATGACGACTTGATGCAACTCGACGGATCGACGGCGCTCGCATACAACTCGGCTCGGCTCGGCTCGGCTCGGCTCGGCTCGGCTTGGCTTGGCTTGGCTCGGCTTGGCTCGGCTCGGCTCGGCTCACATACGGCTCTGCTCGACGAATCTGTGGCATGGATACAGACTACTACATGGACGAGTACTACGATGATATGGCCGACTCGCCGACGGATGTGGCTATTTCACCAGGCACCGCAGCCATGTATCTCAAGCCTGCTGACGGCGGCAGCAACCGGTCGGCGTTTCCGGATCAGAGCTACTACCAGGGCGGCGACAACGAGTACTACGGTGACGAGTACTACGGTGACGGCGGCGAGTACTATGACGATGGTGGCGAGTACTATGACGACGGCGGCGAGTACTACGACGGTGGCCATGTCCACGCGCTGGAAGACGAGCCCACCGCTGGCAAGGGCGGCAAGGGCGGCAAGGGCGGCAAGGGCGGCAAGGGCAAGGGCAACAAGAAGGAGCTTACTCTCGAAGAGAAGCAGGCTACCGTCATGCGGCGCGTGAACAAGTCCAACAAGTACCACACCCGCAAGGCTGTGGCCGATGCCCTCGACGCGGCCGGCGGCGACGTCGACGCCGCCGTCAAGGCTATCCTCAACCCTGCGCCCGCCCATGATTCTGGTAAGCCCATCTCTTCTGCCTCTGCCCCCGCTGCCTTTGCCCCACCCCGGCTGTTCCGCAATCTAGCGGCGGCGGCATTGCCTTCCCCTCCCTCAACCCGGCTGTTCCGCCATCCAGCGGCGGCGGCATTGCCTTCCCCTCCTTCAACCCGGCCGTTGCCCCTACCCCGCCGCCACGGTTGCTTTCCCTTCCCTCAACCCGGCCGTTGCCCCTACCCCCCCGCCGCGGTTGCCTTCCCTTCCCTCAACCCGGCCGCTGCCCCAACCTCTGTCGCCACTTTTGCGTTTCCCTCGCTTGGCACACTCCCCGACACTGCCACTGCAGGCATCGGGGCGGCGCCCGCGACTGGTATCATGCTCGCGGACGATGTGGATGACGGTGACGGCGACGACGTCGACGACGAGCTGCTGCTGCTGGATGCCAACCCATTTCGGTTGGCGTCCAAGCCAGCGACGCTGCGAGCACCGGCGCCGCCGTCGCACCTCTTCCGCGAGCTCATCCAGCCGCGGGCACCGGCAGCAGCAGCGCCGCTCCCGCCGTCGCTCGGAAGGACCTCGTTTGCCGCCGTGAGCCAGCACTCGCTGGCGGCCACATTCAATGCCAGCCTCTCTCCGTTTGACTTTTCCTCACCCTCCCCCGACGATGTTGTGTTGGCAGCGCAATCGGCTGCATTTGAGCGGTCGTCCAAGGCCGCCGCCGCGAGCAAGACTGCCGCGGTCGACGACGGCCCGCCGGGCATTCCCAAGCCGACCAAGGCCGCGGGCTCGTCGTCGCGCGGCGCAGTCTCGGACGTCGACATGATGGGCCTCGGGTCGATGGTCGACTCGGAGTCGCGCGCGCAGGACGCAGCCGCTGAGGCCGCCGCCGCCGCCGCAGAGGCCGAGGCCGCCGCCATTGCCGCAGAGGCCGCAGAGGTCGGCTCGTCGGCGACTACGCCGCGTTCGACGCCGGGCACGCCGCGGTCTGCCCGCCTCTTCATCCGCCGAAGGACCAAGCTCAACAAGAAGATCGGCAAGGAGATCGAGGCTGCCCGCGCTGCTGCCGCGCCTTCCCGCTCCCCGCTCAACCTCGTTGTCGTCGGCCATGTCGACCACGGCAAGTCGACGCTCATGGGTCACGTGCTCTACGACATGAAGCGGGTCACAGACAAGGAGTTCCACAAGTACGAGCGCCAGTCGGCGCAGCAGGGCAAGGGCTCTTTCGCCTTTGCATGGGTCCTCGACGCCCACGAGGAGGAGCGCGCCCGCGGGATCACCATGGACGTCGCGGTCACCTGCTTCCAGACGCCCAACAAGGACATCACGCTACTTGACGCGCCTGGCCACCGTGACTATGTGCCCAACATGATCACCGGCGCCGCCCAAGCCGACGCCGCCATCCTCGTCGTCTCAGCGGCCAAGGGCGAGTTTGAGGCAGGCTTTGATGCCGATGGCCAGACCAAGGAGCACACACACCTCCTCCGCTCGCTCGGCGTCCGCCACATTGTTGTCGCTGTCAACAAAATGGACGCTATCGGCTGGGACGCGGACCGATTCAACGCCATCCGTGCCACCCTCAAGCGCTTTCTTCGCTCGATGGGCTTCCGCTCGGTCCCGTTTGTGCCGCTCTCCGGCCTCGAGGGTGTCAACCTCCTCGAGCCCGCTCCCGACGCCATGCCGTGGTACACCGGCGCGCCACTCCTGGCCACCATCGACTCGCTCCCGCCGCCGGCCCGCGACGTCGACGCCCCGTTCCGCATGCCCATCACCGACGCCTACAAGCCGATGGCCTCGTCCGGCGCCACCGTCGCCGGAAAGATCGAGACCGGCACCGTCCGTCTCGACGACCAGGTCCTCCTCCTGCCCGGTGGTGAGATCCACATGGTCAAGTCGATCACCGTCCGCGACGTCGAGGCCGCCAACTGGGCCGAGGCCGGCGCCAACGTCGACATTGTTCTCCGCGACGCCGCCATCACCAATCTCGCCGGCGTGCGGTTCATGTGTGACCCCGAGTTCCCCATCCCCATGACCTCACGGTTCAAGGTCCGCCTCATCGTCCTTGATGTCAGCATCCCCATCACCAAGGGCTACCCGGTGGTCGTCCACTACCACAACGTCAACGAGGATGCAACCGTCTCCCGCCTCTGTCGGTTCCACCCCGCCGAGGGCTCTCCCGAGGCCGAGCAATTCGCCGCCAAGGTCGCCGCCGCCGCCGCAGACGGCAAGCCGCCGCCGCGCCGCAAGAAGCCGCGGCGCCTGCTCTCCGGCCACGAGGCCACCGTCGAGATCACCGTCCGCAGGCCCATCTGCATCGACACCTTTGCAAACTGCAAAGAAATGGGCCGCATCATGCTCCGCGAGGCCGGCCGCACCATCGCCTGCGGCGTCGTCACCAAGATCTACGACGACATCATCGTGGCAGAGTCCAATGACGACGCGGCCGCCGCATCCTCCTCCGGTCCTGCTTTCGCTTAAGTGTGACCGTGACCACTGGCCAAGGAAGCGCGTAAAAATGGTGCAGACGAGTCCCAACATGACCCACTTTGGATGGCGCCCTCCCGACCACCCCCCCTCCCCCCTATGCTTCCCTCGCCGCTCCCACTCCGTCCCGTGACATGGCGCGATGTGACTGCAAGTCATGCATTCTCGTGACGGCATGCCGAAGAAGACATGTTGGACGCATGGCCGCCCAGCATCGCACCTGACACGAGACAGAGGAACGAGCGGACAGGCAGAGAGGGAGCAACGAGGCGTACAAAGCAGCGGCCAGCGACAGGAGGCATTCGACTCTTTGACTGACTCCTTTTCAAGAGAGAGCAGTTGTACAGCATAGACACAAAGAAGAGCATGGGCATGGGCATGGGCATGAGCATGCGGATGCGGAAGGCTGTGGTGTTGGCCTGTCTTAGCTTGGCGGTGTGGATGTGTATCGTTGGCGTGGTGGTGGTCAAGGTGTCGGCAAGTGGAGCCACCGGCGATGGCGAGAACACCGTCCATGTCATCAACGAGATTGATGATGCTGATGATAATTATGACTATGATCCGTATGCGTCTACCGAGTCGGGACTCCCTCCCGAGCCATGGACTGAGGACAACAAGTATCATATTCGTGACGGCGCAACCGAGGAAGAGTACTTTGCGGCGTTGGCCGAGATGCCGTGTGACATTCCCATTATCGATGCGGTAGCCATTGATGAAGAGATGCTGACTGGCGGTGGAGAGCATGTTGAGCTGGCGAGGAGCCTGCTGAGCAAGGGCTATCCGTTTGTGACCCGCGGCAACGAGCTTGATGAGCCGTTCTGGCATGCCGACAACTTGGAGAAGGTCCTGCCCGAGTGGTTTGACCGTGAGGAGGGTCTCATCACTGCGCACGAGGACTACGTCCGGGCCATTCTCCGTGCGCACTACTCGACGCCGTCATTCCTAACCAAGGACGGTGTGGGACCGGATCTGTTTTCCGAGTTTCTGTTCCGAGCCAAAAAGGCGCAGGCCAATAGCCGCCACATCGACGAGGGTTGCGAGTCGTCGTACTCGCTGCAGATGCGCGGGTGGAAGCTGTGGGAGCTGGACCTGCCATGGAACGACACGGCTGGGCCCGGGCCGCATGGCGATGGCAAGCTGCGGTGTGTTCTGCGGCCGGGCGACGCGCTGTTCTTCTACGCCGGCTGGTACCACCGGACCATGCCAATCACCGACGATGAGTCGGTGGCCATCTCGATGTACTTTCACAACCCGATTGTCTCGCATGAGGAGTTCTATGCCAACTTTGGGGACAAGCTCCTCGCCACCCCGTACTACTGCGACTGTCTCGGGTTCTTCAAGCCGGCACAGGCCCGCAACGTGACAGCCGTTGCCGAGTCGCTCTCGGCCTGCGATGTCATCCGCAAGACGACCGACGATCCGACGTTCATGGACGATCTCGGGACCGACGATCCGGACATGGCCGACTCGTGTCCACCGGACGCGTCTGTCCTGCGTTTTGCGGATCCGTTTGAGGCCGGCAAGTGAGGCTGGTAGTCCAGGTAGTCCAGGCGTTTTGCGGATCCGTTTGAGGCCGGCAAGTGAGGCTGGTAGTCTAGGTAGTCCAGGTGAGTAAAGCTGTTTTATGCGTGGGCGTGGTGGGCGTGGTGCGCGTGGTGCGCGTGGTGCGCATGATGCGCGTGATCTTCGTCCTCTTCGTCCATGTCCTCCTCTTCCTCTTCGCCAAAGTCGAACGGATCCTCGATGGTCCGAGCCCAGTGCTCGGGACCAGCGGCCATGTCCTCGGGCGAGAGGAGGCAAGATTCGAGATCGCGGCGGATGGCAGCCTCGTCCATGTCCATGCCGATAAAGACGAGCTCGGTAGCGCGATCGCCCCACTTGGGATCCCACTCCTTCTGAATCGACTCGACGATGGTGGGGTCGTCGGGCCACTCGCTGCGCGGGATGTTGATCCACCACGGGCGAGCCGGCTCGAACGAGCACATGGTGCCAGCCTTCTGGAAGATAAACTGCAGATCGTGACGAGTGGCGAGCCAGACAAAGCCCTTGGCGCGAACGACTGCGTCGCCGAGCGTGCTGCCTTCGGCCGCCACATACTCATGGAACCGATCCGAGTAGAAGGGACGGAGGGCGCGAAAGACAAACGACTTGATGCCGTACTCTTCAGACTCGGGCGTGTGAACGCCGAGGAGCTCCTGAAGCCAGCCTGCGCCAGACTCTGCGGCATCGAGATCAAAGAGCCCGGTGTTGACGATGGTTGCCGGTGGGACGTTGCCGCGGATGGTGGGCACAACCTTGGCGTTGCGGTTGAGCTGGCGGATGAGAGTGGTGATGGCGGCGATCTCGGACTCGGAGGCCACGTCGGCCTTGTTGACGAGGATGACGTCGGCAAACTCGATCTGGTCGACTAGGAGGTTGGCGAGGGTGCGGTCGTCGTCTTCGCCGGCGGCCATGGCGAGGCTGGCGAGATCCTCGCCCGACGCCATGCGGGCGAGGAGGCCCGGGCCGTCGATGACGGTCACCATGGTGTCGACGGGGACGTGGTTGGCAACCGAGGTGAGGGACTCGTCGCCGAGCTCCTCGGGGGTGAGCGAGAGCGTCTGCGCCACCGGCAACGGCTCGCCAATGCCGGTCGACTCGATGACGATGCCGTCGATGGCCGGCGCGCCGGGCGCCACAAGAGCGGCAATCGATTCGAGCAGGTCGCCGCGGAGCGTGCAGCAGATGCACCCGTTCGAGAGGTTGACCATCTTCTCAGTCGAGCGAGTGACGAGCGCCGCATCGATGTTGACCTCGGACATGTCGTTGACAATGACCGCCAGCTTGGTCCCGGTGGTGTTGGACAGCAGATTGTTGAGCGTCGTCGTCTTGCCGGCGCCGAGGAAGCCCGAGAGCACCGTGACGGGAATGCGAGAATCCTGCATTGAGTGAGAGTAGCGGATGAGAAAACAATTAGTAACGGACATTGATCCGATGGGTAGTAAGCGTGCGACGTTTTGTTCCCCCCGCTGTCTCCGCCACCTCGGCCACTACGGCATGCAGTGTGGCGGAGGGTGTGGCGGAGGGTGTGGCGGAGGGAAAGTTGTGCCGAGAGAGAAAAAAACGAATCGGCGGAACTTCACGAAGAGAGCAGCGGAACTGCTCCATCGAAGCCATGGGCCGAGGGCACACTCGAAGAAGGCGACCGCCTGGACACTTCAAAAGGAAGCCTCGGTAGACGCCGTACACAGCTCGGCTCTTCCAAGCAGACACGACTTCCAAAACCCAGAAGTAGAGACACGCGCTTACAAGCATCATGTTTGGTTTCACCCCACGATCATTGTGGATACTCCTCGCGGAGCTGTGCCGCGGGTGGATGACTTTGTGCAGCCCCGTGACGCCCTGTCCTCTCCTGGTCGGCTTGCGACTCCCAGCATGCTGACGCCTCCGGTCGGCGACAGCGATGACTTCGATACGACATCGGATTTTCTCTCGGCAGGAGGTCACAGTCGAATTTCCCCTCGTTACGTACACGCGTTGATGCCCATGCCTTCGGACGCGGGCAGCGGCGTGTCGTCGGTAGCGCTGGGGCATCTCGACTCGGGCGAGATCGAGGGATTGTTCCCCAGCCTGGGCTTGAGCTCGGGATCGAGCCCATGCCCGAGTTTGGTGTTGCCGATGGCATACTCCGTCGCTCCGCCGACCTCGACCATCCCTCGCTACGCACACCCGCCGATGCCCATGCCTTCGGACGCGGGCAGCGGCGTGTCGTCGGTAGCGCTGGGGCATCTCGACTCGGGCGAGATCGAGGGATTGTTCCCCAGCCTGGGCTTGAGCTCGGGATCGAGCCCATGCCCGAGTTTGGTGTTGCCGATGGCATACTCCGTCGCTCCGCCGACCTCGACCATCCCTCGCTACGCACACCCGCCGATGCCCATGCCTTCGGACGCGGGCAGCGGCGTGTCGTCGGTAGCGCTGGGGCATCTCGACTCGGGCGAGATCGAGGGATTGTTCCCCAGCCTGGGCTTGAGCTCGGGATCGAGCCCATGCCCGAGTTTGGTGTTGCCGATGGCATACTCCGTCGCTCCGCCGACCTCGACCATCCCTCGCTACGCACACCCGCCGATGCCCATGCCTTCGGACGCGGGCAGCGGCGTGTCGTCGGTAGCGCTGGGGCATCTCGACTCGGGCGAGATCGAGGGATTGTTCCCCAGCCTGGGCTTGAGCTCGGGATCGAGCCCATGCCCGAGTTTGGTGTTGCCGATGGCATACTCCGCCGCTCCGCCGGCCTCCACCATCCCTCGCTACGCACACGAGCCAATGCCGTCACCGCACCCTGGGCCATCACCACCAACCCTACCACCACCGTCGCCGCCGCCGCCGCTGACACAGCATCGATCGCCGACGACGGCCGATGACTGGGTACCTCCAAGTAGTTGGCTGGCCGTGCATGCACAGCTCATGGCGCGGTTCGATGACATCAAGGCGTACATTGCGAAGACCTCGGGTCGGACCAGCGACGGAGTTCGCAACGAGGACCGCATCGAGCGGCTACTTGTCTGCGCCGAGCAGGCCATCTACCGACTCCTCATCCCCTTATCGCCAGCTGATCTCGTCACCCTTGGGACACTAATCGGGGACATTGTCCCGACCGTCTCTCCCGCTGTAAGTGATGCCCAGAAGGCCGGCGCACCTGCCGATGCTGTGCTTGCCCTTGGCCTCCCCGCGTTCAACATGGAGGTGTACCACAAGAAGACGCCTGGTCGCAGCGGAACGTTGACCTGCTACGTGAAGGCGATGCTTGCACGCGACGCTACCACCGGCATGACAAGCTTTCTGTCCTTCGTCGATAAGATACTCAGCGCGCTTGCGCTGATGTCGGTCTACGGCTCGCCGCGCACCAAGTGCTTCAAGCCTGTTCAGGGCAAGCTCCAGAAGCTGTACCACCTGGCTTCTAACGATTGCGTGGAGAAGACCAAGAGTGCAGTCGCCGTCTGGTGTCAGCTCTACCTCGACATGCCCGTCGTCGGCGCCAAGCGCGCCCGCGCATCGACAGCCTCGGCCACAGACGACACCCGCCCACGCAAGCGTCGCAGCTGAGCGCTTACTATTGTGCTCAAGGAGGATCCCCCATGGGCTTCTCATGAGTCACATTGCTCGATTATCACCCCTTTTTTCTCTAAAGATAACTCGATCGCATGCACCAGCGCTAGTCCGCTAGCCTGTCCGCCGCCGACGTGGTGTGGAGCTACTCCCCCGGTCGTCCAGCATGTATTCAGAACTGCGGGATTAGATCAATCCACATGTGGTTGCCCTTCATCCGCTTGCACAGTACTCCCTGCCGCTCGCCGACATCCAGCACACTTGCCAGCACTGCCTTGGAGTATACATCGGCGCCGAGCCTCTTCTTGAGCTCGTTGCCCACAGCCGACTTGGCCATCGACCCTCCACGCGTGCGCAGCGCGTCGACCACCACATCCAGAGGCGACTTGGATGCTCTCTTAACCGGCGGAGGCCCGCCCGCATCGGCGTTCTCGTCACGGCCTTCCCCTTCGGCCGAGCAGGTGAAGAGTGCTCGACATTGCTCTCCTCCGCCACCAGCGTGTTGTACGGCCCACGGCGCACAGTACCGGCGTTCAACGCGTCGGCGACCCGAAGCTCGATCATGGCCTCGCTAGAGTCTGGGAACAGCTGCTGGAGGCTGAGGAACGAGATCTGCCCGCCGTAGTTGCGCACAAGGTCGGCGACGGACTTGGCGTTGGTGGCTTCGTCGATGCCGCTGCGTGCAATCGCTCTCTCCCCCCTGGCGGTGATCAAGTACCGCGCCGCCTTTGAAGTACCGTCCATCACCATCCATCCCAGCTTGATCGCCATCTCCAGGAGCTTGCGGAGCCGGTGAGTGGTGTAGCCCTCGGGGAAGCGGGACTTGAACGCGTGCCCGAGGTTCGCCTCGTATACTGCTAGCGGGCCGTCTGAGCCGCCTACAGGCTGTGCGCTCACGCTTGCTACTTGCAGCAGGTCCCGGGCTGTCGCCAGTGCCGCGCTCTGTGAGCCATCGACAACCGACGGCTCTGCCACTGATGCCGGATCAAAGGCTGTCAGCTGGCCAACCGAGCGTCCTGGTTCACTGGCCCGCAGGATCCGGACGAGCTCCGAGGCAAAGCCGTCATGCGAGGCAACCACTAGAGATGTGGCGTTTGGCAGCTCCCGTGACAGCGCCAGCGCATGGTGGGTCAGCATAATATCGGCGGCGTCTTTGCTGTCGCCGAGGCTGAGAACAAGCCGGGCGTGCTGCCCCGCAACCTGTCCGTGAGCCGCCGCCTCTTCCAGCATCCCTCGCTTGGGCGAGGTCTTCCACTTGGACATGACCACAAACAACAAAAGTACCGTGTCTGCTGCTGCGTACTTTTCTCCACAAAGGAGCTCGTCGAGCAGATGGCTCTGGTTGTCGGCATCAACAAGGACAACCTGCCTCGGATTGGCTGCCGTCACATCAGCCCACAAGCGAGCCCACTGCTCCGGCACCGAGATTACCGCTCCTGTGCAGCTATCGACAGTGGTTGTCGCAGCCTCAGTGCTGCTGCTTCCATCGGCTGCGCTGTCGGCCCACTCTCCGCGGAACACAGCCATGTGCAGCGCAACAATGTCGTATCCGGCAATCCCGCTCGCCAGGCCATCGATGGTCGTCCCCCGCCGGTTGGCGAGCGTCACTAGCGCAGAATGAGTCGTGCACAAGTACGAGCTGTCTCCTTCGTTTGTTCCCGGCACCGCCAGCGGCGTCGCCGACGATGATGATGACGGCGGGAAGCCAAGCGATGGCGACGGCCCTGTCAAGAGCGACAGAGTCGATGTGGACGCCGACGACGACGACGAAGCGCGACGAGGACCACAAGCAATGGGCTCAAAGAACAGACCATGTGATCCATCCGAGCAGAGAAAGCAGCGATGTACAAAGCGACACGATTGGCCGGTGGAACAGCCTCGGCCAGCAGGATGGTTGAACCTTCCGCAGATGGCACGGGAGAAGAAGGGAGCGAGCCAGGGAGGGAACCTCAAGTTGGTCCTCGCCCAGAACGAGAACGTCTCGGCCGCCTCGGCCGCTTCCATCCTCCCCCACCCTCCTTCAAGCACAGCAAATGCGTGTGCCTCTTCCTCACTCACTTCCGACATCTCCCCTGTACAAGTCGTGTACTTGTCCTTCTTCTCCTTCGTCCCCTGTCTCGGCCTCGGCCAGACAAAGTCGTTGCTCAACGTGTCGACTGACAAATCGGCCACATCCGCAAAACCGCCAACACTCTCTTGTGCCGCATCTACCGCACCATCTACCATCGCTGTAGTATTCATACTCGGCGAAGCAGTAGTACGAGTGGGTGTCTGTAGTTGGACTAAGTTTGGTGGTGTTCTGTAGTGGTCCCGGTGTGTGGCAGGGAATCGTACCTTGAGTTTTACACTCACCGCATCCTTTGGCGCATGTCGCGTCGAGAGGCCATTCACTTTCGCAGTTTGTCACAGTCTTGCGCCACACCCATAGCGTGGTCCATCGTTGTTGACCCGCGGCCATCAGCCATCGGCAGCCGATCAGCGCCACCGTCCATGCAGCCTTCCAGCAATAGCACCTGATCTTCCATCCCTTCGCCTTTGTCATCGCCACCGCCACCCTACAATCCGCCCCCGCCCCCCCCCCCCCCCCTCCCCCCCCTACATACACATTCCTTCCCGCGTCACATGTCGCAACCTCACACTGTGCCCAAAAAGGCAGACCGCCCTCCCCCCACCCCTCACCACCACCCACCCCGTCCAACTTCAACCATGTCCTCCCCACCTCCCAACCTCCCTTCGGGCGTCTCCGCCATCCTCGCCGCCATGGGACTCGACCCCAATGCGCTCGGTGGTGATGACCTCCCCTCGCTGGCAGAGCTACTTGGCGCTCTCTCGCTCTCGGCTCGCTCGCCTTCTCCGCCTCTGCTCACCGATGAAGAGCGCACAAGCGTGTTCGGTGGTCAGCCGCCAAGTCTAGATGCCTTTGTGGGCAAGATCCTCTCCGGCGAGCTGCGGAACGTCATTGTGCTTGCTGGCGCTGGCCTCTCGGTGGCGGCAGGCGTGCCGGATTTCCGCTCGGACGCTGGCCTCTACGCCGCGCTCGCCCAGTACGATCTCCCCTTTCCCGAGGCTGTCTTTGAGCTCGACTTCTTTCGATCGAACCCGCGTCCATTCTACGCGCTTGCCTCTGCTATGTTCTCAGAAACGGACACGGTGAGTCCCACCCTCGCTCACTGGTTCCTGCGTCTCCTCCACGACCGTGGCCTCCTTCTCCGGGTCTACACTCAGAACATCGACGGCCTCGAGGCCGACACTGGTCTGCCGGACGAGGTCGTCATTCCGGTCCATGGCTCGTTTGTCGACGCCCACTGCATCGACTGCGGCGCCTCCTACGAGATCGACGTCGTCAAGACCGCCATCCGCAGCGCAGACATCCCCCGCTGTGCCATCGCAGACTGCGCCGGCCTCATCAAGCCGGCCATCGTCTTCTTTGGCGAGTCACTTCCCGAGACGTTCTTCGAGCACTCGCGCGAGGACGTCGCCATCGCCGACGCCATCATCGTCATGGGTACCTCTCTCACAGTTCAGCCTGTTGCTTCGCTTCCGTCGCGCGTCTCACCCACCATCCCGCGCCTCCTCATCAACCGCGAGCGCGTCGGTGACTTTACCCCTGCCGATGACCCTAACAACTACCGCGATGTTCTGGCGCTAGGCAATCTCGACGATCAGGTCGTCCGCCTCTGCCACGCTCTCGGCCCCGACTGGTCTGCAGACCTCGCATCCCTTGCCGGCAGCGGCTCGGTCCTCGACAAGGCCGCTGCTGACGAAAAGGCTCGCGCCGCTGCAGACGCCATTGCCCGTGCTGTCGCCGCCACCACCGCCGCTCCTGTTGACGTTGTCTCAGATGCTGCCCCAGCCGCCACGTCCAACGCGTCCGGCTCGGCCAGTGTGTCCCAGACTACGTCCCCTGCCCCGCATCCGTCATCGGCGTAAGACTCGAGATCGAGCTCAGAACGCTCGACCGCGACGCGAGCTGCCTGTCCTCGTCTTCGCCTTCGTTCCAGCTGGCAGCCAACTCGTTGCCCGACGCCTCGAGCAGCGGCTTGATGTCGTCACACGTTGACCAACCGGCCACCGTTGACGACTCGCTGCTCGACGACTCGCTCTGGCTGCTATACCCGCGGCTGGACGCACTCCGCGACGCCACGAGCGGCAAAGCCAGTCCGTGATACGAGGCCGCCCGGGTCGCCGGCCAGCTCCCGCCCAGCATCGGATCCATGAGCGGCGCGATGCGTGGCCGCGTCGTCGCCACCACCGCCTCGAACCGTTTCAGCCGCGCCCTCCGCTCCGTGTCGTCGTTGCTCTCAGCAGACGCCTTGCGCGCGGTGTACATCCGCCACACCAGCACGCCCGCAAACGCCGCGATGACTCCGACGTTGCTCACAATGACCACAGCCTCGAGCGCCATACCTGCAAACCCGAGGTCGGTCGTGTACATCTCGGACGAGTACACAAGGCCGATTGCAAAGGTGAGCATCAGCTGCACAAGCGTGAGTATTTCCAGCCAGTTGATCACCTGGTGAACATATGGCTTGGCCGTAAACTGCACAATGAGCGCGCCCGTGAGGACCACGAAAAACGCAAAAGGGACAAATGGGTTCGTCGCAGGTAGGACCGCGAGCACTGCCACAAGCAACCGCCGCGCCATCACCGCGAGCTCGAACCAGTACATTCGCTGGAGGTACGGCGCATACATAAATTGCAGCCAGTGACCATCGGCCTCGACCATGCCCGGTACCATCGCGCTCAGCGACTGCCGCCGTTGCCGGAGCAGGGCCGCAAATCCACAGGGGATACCCAGTCCGTACACCACCGTCATCGCGCTCCCGATGCTCACAATCGCCAGCCACTCTGAGCTTGACCGCGTGCACTCAATCCACGGCGCAACCCAGAGGTAGTGCTTGCCATCCGCCGAGCCTCGGCACGGCAGCGCCATCAGCATGCTCATCGTTATGGGCATGTAGCCCAGATTGAGCACCGCAAGCGCCGTTCGGATCGCCCCGTGCCGCCAGAACCGCTCGCTCCGCCTGCCCAGCGCGCTGCAGCACCGAGACAAAACCACAAATGCAACGTAGCCCAACGCCGGCACCATAAACAGTCCAGGCACCGCCGCTGCAGTAAAGTAGAACGAGAACACCCACGTGTCGCCGGCCGACGAGAGGCAGGTCAGTGGTGGAACAGAAATCGATGTCCACATCGAGATGGTGGTGAAAAATGACTCGGCTGCCTGCGGCCACACTACAACCGACGAGCCGGAGAACAGGATCGCAGACATCTGCAGAAAGAAGAAGAGCGACTTGACCAACGGCGCGTAAAAACAGACTTGCGGCGAGTCTGGTTCACGCCAAACCACGCCAGAAACGTCACTGTGTACACGACAGCAAGCACAACAGGAAGCGCCGATGGGCACACCTCGCACCGCCGTCCCTGCAGATAGTATCCTGTCTCGCATCGCGAGCACACCCGCCCGCGGTACCCCTCCCGGCAGGTGTACTCGTCCAACCCCTGCGGGTTGCAGCTCGTCTCACGGACTCCAATCGGGTAGCACTCGTCGAGGAGGAACATACCACTTGCGGTCTTGCCTGCCACGTAGTAGTTGGGCTGAATGGTGATGGTGCCCGGGTGTACCTCGGCGCCGCCCCAGTACGGCCCAGCGTCGCTGGATGACTCGGTCGGAGCGGCGGTGTCGGTAGTAGCAATCGATGCAAGGCTCGCGGTCCCTAACCCCCGTCCGATCCGCTCGTCTTGAATCGGCGCCGCCGGAAGCTCGACCCTTCCGCCCTCGCACCGGACCGCGCTCCCGTACGGCTCGCATGAGTGGCACTTGCCGGCCGAGCCGTGAAAGCCAGAAAAGCAACGGCAAAGGTGGTAGCCGTAGTACGCCGGATCAAGCACCACGCTCGACCGCAGCATCCGCACATCCACAAATGCGGGGCACGAGTACGGTTTGTCGATGCGGTGCTGCGAGAACGGCTCCACAGGCACTAGATTTGGCGGGAGCGATGCGCCGTCGGCCTCGCCCAGCCCTGGCGTGTCCGAAAGGACCACCGACTGGACGTACCCGGTGAGCCGATCGACCGAGCCGGTAAAGTTGTTGGCCGAACCGTCAAACTCGAGGATGGATGGGAGGAGATCGACCCACTCGGGCACGTTGCCGGAGATCTGGTTGTTGTTGATATAGAGCGAGACAAGCGGCTGGAGAAAGTTGCGCGGAACCGGAAAGACTTCCAGAAACAAGCTCGACAGCATCTCGCCAAACAACTTGTTGTGCGAGATATCGATTCGCTGGAGTGCAGAAAAGGTGCGGAACGGGACCAGAAAGCTGGTAACGTCCGCGGCAATGGCATTGTGCGAGAGGTCCAGAGAAATGAGCGACGGCTCGAGGTTGGCCCACGACAGTGGAACCGGTCCGATCGACAGCGAGTTCGACGCCAGAGAGAGATGCTTGAGTCCGGCAACGTTGCCGATGCCGGCCGGGAGCTGGCCGGCAAAGTTGTTGCTAGAGAGATCAAGGGAGGTGCTTGTCAGTGCGCAAGAGTCGGGAAACGCGTAAAGTGCGTTGTTGGCAGCATCAACAGAGTCGAGTGCAGGCGAGTCGCACATGATGTCCAGCGAACCGGTGAACATGTTACCGCTGACATCGAGCTGGACGAGCGAGTTGAAGCCACGCGGCAGCTCGCCGCTCAGCCTGTTGTTGTCGACCTTGAAGCGGACAAGCTTGCTCCACCCAGCGCCGAGCTCGGGCGGCAGCGTGCCCGAGAGCACATTGTCACGGGTATCCCAGAGTGTGAGAGCCGTCCAATTGGCGAGCGTGGCGGGAATCGGCCCGCTCACCATGTTACCGGCCATCCACAGCTGAGTCATCTTGGAAAGCAAGCCCCACTGAGGCGGAATAGTCCCCGTCAGCTCCTGGTTGGAGATGGCAAGTAGCTCGAGCTCCGTCGAGGCAAAGACCGGCAAGTCGCCGCGGATGCCCGAGCCGTAGGTGTGGAGGACCTGGAGCTTGGGCAGCGCCGCAATGTGCTCGAACGTGCCAGTCAGCCCCGGGTTGTTCGGCAAGTTGAGCAGATCAAGGCTCTGCATGCCGGACCAGTCGGTCGGCAGCTCGCCGTATGTTCCCGTGTCGCCGATCCCGATGCCCTGCAGCTGCGGCCAGTTCCACAAATGGTGGGGAACGGTCCGTTGAGCGGCATGTGGCCAAAGTGGACGAGGATGAGCGACCGCGAGGAGGTTAGCTCGCCGGGAATCGACGTGTACCCGCACCGCCGACACGAGAAGATCCGCAACGCCGGCATGGCCGCCAGCGTCGCCGACGGCAGCGGCCCACCCGTCCCCAGCCCCGAGTCGGCAAAGTTGAGAAAGTGGAGCGAAGCCATGCCAGCCCACTCGGGCGGGATGTCGTGCCCGGCAAAGCCGTCGGTCGTCGATCGCGCACCAGTGTTGAGCGCAAGCATCCGGAGCCGGGTCAGCGCGCCCCACTCGGGCGGAAGTGGGCCATGTATTCCCGACGAGAGCGTGAGTCCGTACCAACGCAGGTAGGTGTACGATGCGCCGTTGGCGAGCATCGCCGCCTCGTCTGGGGGCGTGTTGCTGCCGAGAAAAAGCTTCTCCAGCTTGCTCCAACGGCCCCAGGCTGGCGGCAGTGTGCCTGAAATCCGGTTTGCGGTGAGATCAAACTCGCGCATCTCAGGAAAGTCCCATGCTAGCTCCGGCAGCTCGCCATCGAGAGCGTTTCCGGCAAGGTACACGGCGGTGACGTGCAGTTGACCGTCCGCGGTGTTGTTGGAGCAGACAATGCCATAGTAGTCGCACACGCTCTCAGTACTCGCACTGGCTCCTCCGGCACGCGCCTCCCATCCTGTCTTGACCTTCCATGTCGAGCCGCCGAGTGCTTCAAACATCACGTCCAGCTGCGCAGCTTCAGAGGCCAAGTCACCTCGAACGAGCGCACCGGTCAACAGCGTCGTTGCAACCATTGCCAATACCGCGACCTCCCAAGGGAACGGCATGACGCCAGTATGTGGGGAAGAGGCCACGTGTTGACCCACAACGTCAAGTAGTGCTTGTGCAACGTGTGCCAAGCTCCCGCACTGTGTTGGCCCGAGAAAAGGGTGCGTCCTTTGGAACAACATGCCCCCCCTCCCCTCCCTGCCAAGTCGTACGGCAGGGAAGGCGTTTGAGCAGATTCGCACGCGTATCAAAACCCGCGCATATTTTTTTTTTGGCCGCAAAATTTGTCCCAGCCATCCGCCGAATCACCATCCAGTACATCCGATCCAAGGACGAGGGGGGGGGGGGGGGGGGGGGGGGCGTAGAAGAAAAGCAATCAGTGGTCATCGACTCTAGCAAGACTCGGGCACATGGAGTTGAGCCATCGCAGTGGTATCAGCAGCAGAACCGGAAACGCTGTCGGAAAGCTCGGTCCTGGCACAGCTACGCAGCGGTCATGAGAGCATCGATAATCAAGGTGGAGAGCCATTCACCTTTCGACTGTGAGTCACTACATCCAGGACGCCAGCCAGAGGGGGTACCTGTTACGTATTGGGGTACCATGCTGATGAGTTGTTTGCAATTGCGACCGCCCGCCGCAAGTCGTCCCGTCGCGAGTGTCTGTCCCTCGCCGGCCAGCCGACCAGCCTCGACGCAACTCAAAGCCACTCCGCTCAACCCACTCGACCAGACGCGGCATGGCGCTCCGGGGCAGTCTGCTCACAGCAACGCAACAATGCATCCGCCGGTACCACTGCGTGGCGCGGACAAGGGCGTCGATGACGGCGGCGTCAAGGAGTCATCCTTCTCCACACATGCTCTCGTCGTATAGTGAGACCGTGGTGCCAGTCTGCGAGCCGGGCGCTGAGCTGAGCTGGTACACATGCGGGCCGACGGTCTACGCCCCGGCGCATCTCGGCCACGGATGGACGTATGTACATGTTGATCTCATGCAGCGGATGCTGGGAAGCCTCTTTGGCGTCCGAATTACATCGGTCCGCAACGTCACAGACATCGACGACAAGATTATCGCCCGCGCAGCAGAGCTGGACATCGGCCACGCCGAGCTCGCGGCCGACATGGAGGCAAGCTTCAATCGCGACATGGCAGGCCTTGGTGTTGCGCCTCCGCACGCTGCACCCCGCGTCACCGACGCCATGCCCACCATTGTCGCCTTTATCGCCGATCTTGTCGCCCGTGGCGCCGCCTACGTCGACCACTCCTCGGGCTCGGTATACTTTGACACAGAGACGTACGGGGACGCGTATCCAGCCGCCATGTTCAAGGCCTCGGCTGGTTTGAGTGGCTGTAGGCATGGCATTGGCGGTGGCGGCGATGACGACGGCGACAGCGATTCGGCCCAAGCCCCGGGTAAGCGCGCGCCGGCGGACTTTGCGCTGTGGAAGGGCGATGCATCGCCAGCAGCCGTAGCATGGCCCGCCCCGTGGGGGCCTGGCCGCCCAGGATGGCACATAGAGTGCTCAGCGATGGCGACCGCCCAGTTTGGGGCCACGCTCGACGTCCACGCCGGTGGCATTGACCTCAAGTTTCCGCACCACACCAACGAGATCGCCCAGTGCCTGGCGTGGCTCGACGCGCCGCGCGACAAGCCCACATCCTGGGCCCGCCTCTTTGCCCACATCTCCCACCTCCACATCGACGGCGCCAAAATGTCCAAGAGTCTCAAGAACTTTATCACTGTGAGCGACGTGCTTGAAAACGGCGCCGGCTCGGGTGACCACTTTCGCCTCTTCGCCGCCCTCCACCCGCGGTCCGCTCCGTGCGCGATGACCGCCGACGTCGCCGCGGTTTTCGCCGAAGCTCGCGCCATCGAGGCCCAGCTACTTGCTACCCTTGCGCCGTCGGCTGCTGCCTCGCACGCCGTTGACGTCACCCATGTCGACGCCGCCCTCGACGAGCTCCGCACCGCCTGGGCCCATCTTGCCGCCCCGAGCCTCGACGCCCGGACGCTGGTGGATGATGCCCGCAACCGGGTAGCTAGCATTGATCCCACTGGGCCTTCGGCTGAAGGCATCGCGCTCGTTTCCGCTCTCGATGCACTCGGGTTCAGATGGCAGGCAACGGTGCAGGGTGCACTGGATGACTGCGTGCGCGCTGAGCTTGTTCACGCTATGGCTGTGAGGCGTGAGCTCCGGTCGGCACTCGTCGCCAAGAGCGCAGACAGCGTGACAGGCGCCGTCGGTGCAACAGCTGCCTCACTCCTTGGTATGGCGCCACCGGCCTCCATCGGTGCCGGCTGGGCACTCTGCGACGCGCTTCGCGACGACATCCAGGCCAAGCATCCAGTCAAAGTCCTCGACGCCGGCAGCGAGACGAGCTGGCGCTACGATGCTAGCCATTCCCGCCATGCCGAGGCAGCGCGTCGAGCCTGCCGTGTCGCGTCCCCACTCCTCGCGCTCCCGCTCCCGATTCAAAGCAGCACGCACCAGCCGCCGGCTTGAAGAGGCGGTTGTGGAGGCACCGTCGGCAGAGTGCATCGGGCGAAGAGCTCGCTTTCGACGTACTCGCCCATGTCGGCAAGTTGCGGTAAGAGCTCGTCGTGGACCCGGAATGGCACCTTGTCGACCTCTGCTTGGGAGGCCGGATGAAGGAGTGCGGCGTCGGCGGTCCAGGAGAAGAGGGCGCCACCTGTCGAGATGGCAAACGGGTTGAGCTCGATGACAATCCACGACGCGTTGTCAGCGTAGACGCCCACATCAAGCACATACGACGCATAGTCGATGCTTGATGCCGAGGCGCGAAGCCGAGCGTCGACTGCAAGCCACGCCTCGACCAGGACCGGGCGGAGCGCGTCGACGCGGTCCACAAGCCCTGGCACAACCACATAGTGGTTGTACTGCGAGATAGCCGCTAGCCGCCCGTTGTACACAAAGAGCCGGAACTCTGCGCTCGGATCGACGTTCGAGTCCCACGCCCGGATAGCCACCTGCGTCGCCCAGCATCTGTCGTCAGCGCAGTCGAGCGCGAGGAGCATGTCCGCGAACACCCGTTCCGACGAGAGTATCAGTGCCATGGCCTCAGCGCCTGACGTGACCCGGAGCAGCGGCGCCGTCACATCCGCGACCGCGAGAAACTGAGCATTGGCCAGTAGGCCTGGTGCGTTATCTGAGCATCCGAGCGCGGCCATCGTCGACGCCACCCGTGCTGCCCGCGCCGCCAGGTACGCCGAGCGCAACGCGGCTCCAGCGCCGTGTAGCGGCTCCCCGTCCTTTGGCGACCTCGACGAGAGGCGAACAAATGCACCATCGGCAAAGTCAGGACTCGCGAGACTGATATCCAGGGCATGTTGCACTTGATCGAGCTCGGCTTCCGCCTCGGCGCTTGGTTCGGCATCGCCGCAGTAGCGCGCGCGGTAGCTGGCGACGACAGCGGCGGCAGCTGTCGGCGGAAAGTCGAGAAAGGTGGTGGGAAAGGTCAAACTTGGACTCACAGTCAGAATGGAGTACCACGACTCGACATCAAACGGAAGATGCTGCTGTTTGCGGCTCCTTGGCATGTCCATGGTCCGCGGTGTGGGGCAGCGCGCAGTCGAGTGTAATCAGTGTGTGATGTGACGGGGTGGGTTTGGAGCTCGGCTTCCATGGGAAGGAATGGTTCGCCCCCCGCACCGTCGCTGGCATTGACAACATCGCCTATGATCGATGATGTAACCTCTCCCCACACTACAGCCAACACGTCGCCGACGATACTTGCTATTCTTGGTGAGCGAGGAGCAAGATCGAGACGAACATCAGTGACAGACTTGCGGGCCAACAAACGTTCACGCCAATTAACGACGCACCACCAGCATACTGCCTGTCTTACCCTCAGCCACACACGTCCAGGGCCCGTCAGTGGCTCATGATACGCAGGGGGGGGGGGGGGGGGGGGGGTCGATGCCATTCTGACAGGCCCATCGCCAAGCTGCGAGGACATATCAAGCCATTGGGCTCGGAACTGTTTGCCCATGGAAGTAGGAGGCCCAAAAAACTGCCAGACTCTCTGCTCAGCACCTGCTTGGCAGGTAGGACCACACCGCCATCACAGCAACTTCAGGAGCCACAGCAAGCATTTCATACCTCGCGTAGCAACGCACATGCATAATACAGATAAACTACCATGTTACCATAGCTGGGGAGGAGGCTGGGGAAAAGCAACCAACCAAGCCGCCTCTTCGCTACGAGCGCATATTTTTTTAGCCGGGATTTCTCCCCTCGCCATTGCCGCAACCGCCAAAACGAGCGGCAAACGGCAGCAAGGGAGGGAGCGGCCTCGGTGAGGGTAGGAGGGGGGGGGGAGGGGGGGAGGGGGAAGGGGAGGACAAGGGCGGGTACTCTTGTCTTCAGACCAGTGGGAACTCCCTTTGAGTAGGGTGCACCATGGCTGAGCACCTTATTACCCAAGTTGCGCGACCTGACGGTAGTGGAGGAAGTGGTGGTGGTCATGGACTTACCCATGCCCAAATCCAAGCCGCTCGCATGCAAAGACGGAGAGGCCGAGGGGGGGGTGGGAGTGGAGGTGGTTCCGGAGGAGGGAGTGTGAGTGGAATGGGAGCCGGGAACGCAAGTGGTGGATCTAGTGGAAATGGTTCGGGTACTGGTACTGGTCGGGGATCGAGGTATCCATCAACACATGCTGGTGCTGGTGGTCCTCCTCAGGCTCATCAACAGCAACATGGCGTCCATCCGTCAAACAGACCCGTGGCATACATGCCTGCCTACTCGTACGGCGGTGCAGCGGGTGGAGCAAGGACTGGCGCGGGGCCTGGTCCCGGTCAACATGCCACTCCGCCGCCCATGTATCCCACCGCTATCCCTCCGCCAGGATCGGGTGGTGCTGCAGCTACCGGTGGGAGTCAAGGCTCGCCGCCGCCTGCTCAGTCGCTGCATCAGCAGCAGGCTGCGGCGCAGCAGATCCAGATGCAGCACTTGGCACAGCAGCATCACATGCAGCAGCAGCACCACCACCATCATCACATGCCGCAAGGCCAGCAACACCCGCAGCAGATGCAAATGCTCCATCAGCAGCAGCACGGCCAAATGCAGCACATGCAGCACGGCCAGATGCAGCACCAGGGCCAGCAGCAGCACCAGGGCCAGCAGCACGCCGCAGCCCCGCCACCGTCGTTCTGGGACAAAATCTGCTGCTGTGGCTCTCGCCCTCCGCCGTCCAACGCTCCAGCCCAGGGCGGAGACCCAGGTGCGCCCGGCCCAGTCGCCGCAGGCCAGCAAGGCACCGACTCGAACACACTGTTGCCGGTAGCAAACGGGGCCGCCGCTACCGGCTACACCCCTGCTGATGGCACCCAGATGACCATGTTTGCCGCCTCGGATGCCGGCCAGGCGCCCGGCGCTGTCGTGCCCAGCTACGGTGGCGGCCAGCCAAGCCCGCCGCCGGTTGTTGAGCCCAACTACGACTACGGTCTGCTCGGCCCGATGCACCCGGCAGACGTCGGCAAGAAGACTCTTGTCCTTGACCTCGATGAGACCCTTGTCCACTCGTCGTTCCGACCCACCGAGAACTCGTCATTTATTGTCCCCGTTGAGATCGAGGGTGAGACCCACATGGTGTACGTCCTCGTGCGGCCGCACTGTGACGAGTTCCTCCGCCGCATGGGCGAGCTCTACGAGGTCGTCATTTATACCGCCTCGCTCGCAAAGTACGCAAACCCGGTCATCGACCTCCTCGACGCCCATAAGGTCGTCCGCTCCCGCCTCTACCGCGACTCGTGCGTCTCCACCAAGGGCAACTTTGTCAAGGACCTCTCTGCCCTCGGCCGCGACATGGCCGGCATCCTCATTGTTGACAACTCGCCTGTCTCCTACCTCTTTGATCCCGACAATGCCGTCGCATGCACCTCCTGGTTTGACGACATGGAGGATACCGAGCTCCTTGACCTCATTCCGTTCCTCGAGGAGCTGACTCACGTCGACGACGTTCGCAACGTCCTCGGCTCCGGCCATCTTTACCGCTAGCCGCCGCCGACCTCGGTTTCTGCCGTCATGAACACACCCGTCCTGACTTGTCTCACTCCCCCTTGACACGTTTGTCCGCTCCCAGCCAGGCAAGCGCCCGTGGCCGACTCTTGCGTCGCCGACGCGCCTGTCCTTTGGGCTTGACTGCGGCAGCCGGCAGCTCGGTGCGCGCCAAGCTGCCCATTCCGGGTCCAAACAGCACGTCCCAGAGCAGGATGTCCTCGCCGCGGCAGACAGGGCCCATCCCGGCCTTGCCCACTGCTCCACCCACCACCCGCTTTCGCACCGCGCGGTCGTCGGCATCGTAGTCACCAGGTCCCGGTCCAGTGCCTGCCCCGGCACCGCTGCGTGCCCGCTCCAGCGCTGCGAGGGCAGCCGGCGCGTTCTCCAGTCCCGGCGGGAGCCGAAAGAGCAACTCATACAGCGTGATCTGCTTCAGCACCCCGCGTTGCTCGCGTGTGAGCCCTGTCCGCGATGCGCCAAACACAGCCGCGGGAACATGTTTGGCGAGCGCGGCGCATGCGCCGGTCACGTCGTAGCTGCCAGGACCCACATCGCTGCTACCCATTGACGCTGCAGCGACCAAGAGGGATATGACGCCGCCGATCGTTCGCGCACGGGTCAGTTCCTCGCCGCGCGCCACGTCGTACGCCCCCGGCCCGATGCCGGCGCTAGTCCCGTTCGGTGCGCAAACATCAGGCCGCGCCACCGCACCGCCAAACACCGCCGCCTGTGACGCAGCCTCGACGCTCGCGTGGTTCACCACGTAGCCGCCGATTCTCGATGTGATTGTCGCCGCACTTGTCATCCGCTCAGCTGCTGGCACTACTGCAGACCGCGGCAGCGCCTCAACTGCGTTCCACTGAATGTCGAGGGCGCCGCGCCCATCACGGGTTCTTTTGCCAGCGGCCGTGACAACACGCGTGCCGCCGGCACCGCCGGCTCGACGCCGCTCCAGCTGACATCGTAGACGCGATCGTCAGCCTCTGGTGCATCGTCGTGAGCAGCGCGCCCAAACGTGGCTGGGCCCGTTATGGCTTTGCCCAATCCTGGCGCATCCATAGCGAGCAGCGGTACCCGAGTCGTCACACTGCCGGTCGCCGCCCAGCCACTCCGAGCCCCACGGCCGGTAACATCGAGTGCAGCGCCTGGTACGTTGCCAAACACGGCATCTAGCGCGGCGCGCAGGTCGTACGATCCGGGTCCGGGGCTACGGCTCGCAGCGACCTTTGTCGGCGCCCGAGCCGCTTCGCCGATGACGCCGCCCGGTACGTTCTCGCTTACAACCGGCTCGTACGCGCCAGGGCCTGGTACCTCATCGTCACTGTCGAGCCCGACCGGCTCAGCAGCTGCCCGCGCCATGGTCTGGCCCGGAGCCCGTGGCAAGACTGCTTCCCAGTCGGGGTGCAGAACGAGAATGTCGCCGTCGGTGGCAAAGTGATCGCCGCGGAGCTGAGCGTAGCCCATCCGACCGCCTGGGACTGCCGGCTCGGTCGCCGCCAGTGCTGCATCAATGTTGCGGAGCGGAACCCGTGCTGCCGCCGATACTGCTGTCGGGCTTGGCCGCGGCGCGTAGCCGTCGAGCCTCAGTGCGCCGTTGACAGAAGCGCGGATAGAGGCGTCAAACGCGGGATCCGGTAGCGGCCGCTCGTCCGGCGATGCCGGCCGCGGCAACCGCGGGGCGCGAGGCAGCGCAGGTCCGGCCCCTTCGCCAAGCTCTGATGGTGGTGCATAGAGCGGACGACAATCCCGAGCTGAGGACGCGGCAGCCTCGCGCTGTGACCGGGTGAGCGACGCCACAGGCGTCGCAGGGAGCACCGCGTCCATGGACGGGTTCCGCAGCGGTACCCGCGCCGTGAGTGAGATAGGCTCCGGTCGTGCCTTAGCCCTGCCAAATGTCACGCTCGGGCCAACACCAGCACTCTCTGCCACCGGCGGCAGCATCTCGCCCAACGGTAGCGGGCTAGGCGGTGGGCTCGGGCTCTTTGGCCGCGCCGCGGCTCGTCCAAACGAGAATGCCGGCTCGCGGATCCGAACCGCATCGAGCTGAGGCTCGAGTGCGCTTGCCCGCCTTGATGTTGCCGGCTTGGGCGGTGAGAGCTCGCGCTTGGCCTTGGCAAACGAAGCCTTGCTCCCGCGGCGCGGCTCGATCGCGTCCAGAGCCGCGTTGACATTTCGCAACGGCGGCTCGCGCTCGCGCTGATGCGGCAGCCGCGTCGGTGGCGTCGTTGGCACCCGCCACTGTGGCCCGGGCACGTGTGGGTCTGGATACACGATATCCAGCTCGAGACCCGAGCCCGAGCTCGAACCATGCTGGGCGCCCGCGCCAAAGCCCGGCATCCGCGGCGCCCTCCCGATGACTCCGCCCTTGCACCGGACAACAGCCTCGCTGGAGCTGAACGTCGAGCTCGTAATCGACGAGTCATAGTACCCATAGCTCTCGCTGCTGGATCCCGAGCTCGTCGAGAAGCACTTGGGCGCTTGCCCAAACCTGGGTGCCGTCCCGAATCTTGCACCCTTGATCCTTGCTCTCGGCAGAAGATTCTTCCATGCTCTGCCCTCCTCGCTGACAACACTGCTCGATCGCGAGTAAGAGTACGAGTACGATCCCGACAGGGATGACGAGTAGCTCTCGTAGTCGGACGATGATGACAAGTCGGGCCCAACATCCCGCCGAGCAGCGCCTGTCCCGAACCGCACACCAGGAGCCCGCTCTCCAAACGTTGTCGCTGCATACGCTGTGCCGATGTCACTCTCCGAGTACTCGCTCGTCCAGCTCGCATCACCATCACCGGTTCTGCCATCGCCATCGGTCTCGCCAGCCACATCTGCCAACTCGAGCGCCGGCGAGGGCTTCCGAGAACGGAATCGCGCAGCTCTCGAGAACGCCATGTCAGGAATACACCCACACGCACCCCAACCCCACCAGGCGGTGACTACACGTGGCGGCTGTGGTAGTGGCGGCTGGCGTTGGGTGGCGTCGGCATTGCGGTTGTTACTGCTGCCGCCCTTCTCGCCGTCTTGGCGCCAACCCACGAATATCCCGACCAGCACCTGCTGCCAGCGCCATGACAGCGAGTACTTGCATCCGCTCACCAAACGCGCCACGTCCCGCCCACTGCCAGGACGAGCACCGATATCACCATCATACACATCCTCCTTGTCATCATTGCCATGACATCGCGCTGGTGCTCGAGAGGGTCGAACACAAGGCAAAAAAAAGAAATCTGAGCAGGACAGGACTCGAACCTGCGCATCCGAAGATACTGCGACCTGAACACAGCGCCTTAACCACTCGGCCACCTGCTCGTTGTATAGGTTGAGTAATGAGGTCGCAGCTGTATTTTATGTGTACATTCAAGTGCACAAGCAGCGCCACGGAGGCAAAAAAAAGGGCAAAAAACAAACTGAGCAGGACAGGACTCGAACCTGCGCATCCGAAGATACTGCGACCTGAACACAGCGCCTTAACCACTCGGCCACCTGCTCCAATTGTTGGACTATGAGGCAAAAATAATGAAATATAAACCATACATCACATTCCCACTGCCCGTGGCGCCCATCCTCTCTTCTGCCAGTCACGCGACTCACACCACCCGACACACCCACACACTCTCACTCACCACATCTCTTCCTCATGGACAACGAGGAAGTGGCGGCCTGCCTGGCAGTGGCGTCATCTGTCGAGTCGGCAGGCAACGTCGAGGTCGAGCACAGCTCACTCTGCCTCCTCTCGTTCAACTGGTTCCTCGCGTGGCACAAGCATGTGGTGTCGGGCGGCCCCACTCCGCCGCCAATCAACAACACCCCTCTGCTGGCACCACTGTTGGTCGCCACCTCTTCCAAGCATCACCTGCTTCCCTCGTCGGCCCTCTCTTCGCCCTCTCGTCCCACATCATCGCCGTCGTCATCTTCATCGTTGATCTCTCCCTCCTCGCTCCCAGCCTCGTCGTCGTCGTCATCGCCTCGCGCCAACGCCATCTCGGACCTCAATGGCGTGTTTGTGCCGGAGGCTGTTTGGGAGAGACTTGTTGAGCGCTACGGTGGCGGGCCAAAGTATCTTCGCAAGCATCTGTTTGCCGATGACGTGCTTCCGCTCGAAGCATCCGGCCATCTTGTCGCCTTTCACGTCTGTGTCGTCGACTCGCCCGCATCTGCCCGCCTCGTGACTCTTGTTGTCGACGCTGCGACCACGCTCAGCCACTTTTGCCTCCTGGCCGAGGACCTGTTTGTGGCACAGGGTGAGGTTCCGCTCGCAGCCTGGGTCTTTGACTACCACTCGCACCACGCCGCAGAGCTGTGCCTTGCTGGCGATGGCCTCTTGCTCGCTGCGGCGCAAGACGACCAGATCCTCATTGTTGCTGCGAGTGGGGACGTGACAACGGACCTTGTTCTCGAGCTCATGTCGTCCAAGCTCGCCATGGTTGACGCCACTATTGCCGCCATCGACGACCTCCGCGCCGCGCCTAACGCTCTCGACGCCATCGATGCCCTCGCCGGCCTATGGACCCGCTCGCAAGACTCACAGGCGCTGCAGTGCTCGCGAAAGCCGATCATATTTGGCCTCCTTCTCGCCGCTGCAAACAAGGTCTGGCGGCCGTCGCTTGAAGACGCCCTCGACGAGCCGACCGTTCTTCGCGCCCTCGGTCACCTACTCGGCCTACTCACTCTCAATGACTTTGCGGTCGAATTTGACGCCGCCGTCATGCCGCCGCACCTCCGCCGGTTCGACGACCACCTCGGCTCGTCGAATCCGATTATCCGCGATCTGACCCTGCTTTTCATCGAGCTCGTCGTCCTTCGCTGCCCGTCGCTCGCCTCATTCCCGGCTGTCCTCCCGCGTGCTGTCCGCGACGTCCTCATCACCTACTTTTCCGGCCGTCTCCGCGCACTCCGTGCGCTCCGTGCTGGTGACGTTGGTGGCCAGCAGGCCGATGTCCGCTCCTCGCGACGCAAGGAACTGTTTGTCACCCAGGGCCACGGCTTTGACCCAGCGACGCTTGCCCACGTGGCTGGCTCGCCCGCACTCGCCGCGCTCCTCGCCGCGCCCACGGCCCCGACCGCTGAGCGCATCCTCTCGGCGCTCCTCGCGCAGCTCGAGAGTGGTGCGCCGCCGGTCCTTCGTCCGCACGCACTCCCGCATCAGGGCCAAGACCATCCGTCGTTCCCGGAGCTTGCCGGCGTCGAGTCGCGGCGCGGCAAGCTGCTCGCACGACTGGCGGAGGTCAACGCGCGGCTGACTCGCCATTCGGACGCGGCATCCAGGCTCGAGGCTCAGATCGCGGCAGACTCGGCGCCGCGAAGGCAGCTTGCTCGCAAGCTCAAGGCTGCATCAGCCAAGCGCGAGGCTGCCGCCGCCGAGGCTGCTGAAATGCGTGCCGAGCTCGAGTCGGTCGAGTGGCAGCGCGAGGTCATTGCCCTCATTGCCCTCGTCGACACCCTTGTCTCGGCCTCGTCGGCTGTCGTCGACTCGGTCGGCGAGGCCTCGCTCGAGGTCCTCGGCGAGTATACGCAGTGGGCCGGTGAGCTCGAGGGACTTGTCCGCGACGTCGTCTCGGCCACTACCTACGTCGGCATGGTCGGCCTCATGAAGGCTGGCAAGTCGTCAACCATCTCAGGTCTCGTCGGCCTCGATGTCTGCCCTTCGCGATCGACGGCCATGACCGTCATTCCGACGCTCATCACACATGTTGAGGGCAAGAAGCTCCCCACGCTCGTCATTCCCGAGTCGACCTGTCTCGTCCTCAACACAACCGTCGTCACCCTCGCCGCCCACTTTTCCGCAACCTACGAGGACGAGACGACCTCGTTTTTCGGCAACAGGGTTGTCGACGACATTGTCCACATGGTTGTCAATGGGCAGCTTCACTTTACGCCCACGCCTGTTGTCGGCCTCGACGCTATCCACACCACTCTTGTTGCCCTCAACGACGTAATTCGACTCTGCGAGTACGTTCACATCGATGGTGCCAACCCGCTGCTTCACATCACCGAGCTCCGGGATCTCCCGCAAGTCGAGCTCGAGTTTGCAGTCATGGCCGAGACCGGCATGTTTGGCCGCCTCTCGTTCATCGACTCGCCCGGGCCCAACGAGGAGGGCATGGACATTCTCTCCGACGTCGTCAAGCGCATTCTCAAGCAGGCCTCCATCGTCGCCGTTGTCCTCAACTACGCCGCCCTCAACTCGGAGGAGCAAGTTGCCATCAACGCCACCATTGCCGAGGCCACCGCCGACGTCGACCAGGAGGCCTACGTCTTTGTCAACAAGTTTGACCAACGGAACACTGCATCCGGTGACATGGACGAGGCCCAAGTCCGCGACTTTATCATGGCCAACCTCGCCGACGTCCGCTCAGGGATCTCGCTCCGGCCCGAGAACATTTTCCCGGTCTCTGCCAAGTTTGCGCAGTACGCCAACACTGCCCGCCATCACATTCTCACACAGGCCCAGCCCGAGTCGGCATCACCGCCGCCGCTTTCGGGGTCAACATGCTCGTCGTCAGCTTCGGCGGCGGCCAACGGTGCATCGTCGGATCGTGCCAGCCGCTCCGGTGATGGTCAAGGCGGCAGCGGCGGCGATGGAGATGGCGACGGCTCCGACTCGGACTCGATCGACATCTCAGACCTCGACTCGAGCTCAGACTCCGAGTCGGTGGGCGGACCGCCGAGCGGTGGTGGAAGCCACGGCTCGGACGCCGCCGACGGCGAGCAGGCCGGCGCGTCGGACAACGTCTCGTGGCTCGAGCGTGAGTTCAATCTCGACAACCACATCTCGGTGCCTGACCCAGACGTCTACCCGTGGGTCGAGGACTTTGCACGCATTGCGTGGGGTGAGACATGGGCCGACGACGAGGTCTATCCGCGCATGCTCGCCAACAACGATGTGCGGACGTTCATGCAAGGTATCGACGCTGTGTGGCGCAACTCGCACCTCAACGAGCCGCTTGACTCGATGCTGCGCCACTGCTACACCAACGCCGGCGTCATCTCGCTGCGGACTTCGCTCATGCGTGCGTCTGCAATCGCTTCCAAGCTCGAGCGCGACGTCACCATGCACCTCGCCGCCGTCGCCTCGTCGGTCGTCTCGCTTGAGAAGTTCCTCGAGGTCTCAGCCTCGGCTCACGAAGACATTCTCTCGGCCATCCGCGACATCAAGGACCACGCCGCGACCCGTGCGCTGGAGCACCTCCCGGCCATCATCCAGCAAGTGCTCGACGACGCCCGGACCCGGGTCAAGGAAATGACCTCGCCTGGAGGCCTTCGCGAGCTGCTGGACACGTATGGGCCAGAGCTAACGAACGCCAAGGCCGGGCTGACCTCGCCGTCGCCACCAAACTCGCCGCCGGTCTCGCCGTCGGCGTCTGTGGCCGCTGCCGAGTCGGCGTTTCCGTCGATGGCCTCTCTCGAGGCTGTGCTCCTCGCCAACGAACCGGTGCCGTTTGAGGGTCAGGCCCAAGCCGATGGCATCATTGCCAAGCTCACGGCGCTGTTTGAAAAGGCGGCAGCGTCGCTGCAAACCTTCCTCATTGGCCACATAGTCGAGGCCGTCCAGGGTGTGAACGAGAACATGGGCCGAATGGTGCAGGACCGGCTTCAGCCGCATCTGGCTCAGTACCAGCGTGACCTCGACGAGATTCTAGGAACCTCAATCGAGTTTCCGCACATCGAAGCGCCTGATCTCAACGTGTTTGGCTCGCTCATCAAGAGCGACACGCTGCGGCTGGTCGAGCAGCAGACAACAACCAAGTGGGCGCTGTTCTGGCTCTTCAAATTTATTCCGATTCCGCGGGTCGAGCGGTCCAAGACATGCACATACGCAGTGGACCCTGCGCTCATCAAGTCGGCCTTTTCCGAAGGCCTCGCGCAGGTCTTCGAGTCGACGCTCCAGGCCTCGTCGTCGCTCTCGTCGCAGATGGTCTCGACGGCGGTGAACAACTACACCGGCAAGGTTGAGCGCGAGCTCAACAAGCTCATTGCCCGCATCCGGCTCTCGATCGAGAACAAGCGGTCGCGGCATGACCAGTCGGTTCTCATGCAGGTCGAGTGCGAGGAGCTGCTGTGGCGGACGCAAGAGTTCCGGCGGCGGGCCGGGTCTGTGCTGGCAGCCATGGCGTCGCGGCTTGATGACGAAAGCGCGCCTCCCGGAGGCCGCTCGCTCAGCAGCCTCCCGCGGACTTCAGTCCTCTTTCCGCGGTCGTTCGAGTACTCGGACGTGGTCATCGACGCGCCGCTCCTCCCCCTCACCTCGCTTCTTGCGGTCAGCGGCGCCGACGACGGCTCGCCGGCGTCGACACGGTTCTCGAGTGCAACATGTGCGTCCGAGTCGTCGGTTGTTATCCGCAACGGAGTGTTTTCGGCGTCGCCGATGCGTCCGCTCCCCCGCGAGTGGTGGCCTCGGTGCAAGACCTGCAATTCTACCTCAAGCCAGAGCTGGTTGACATGTCGGGCCCGGACCTCGCGCGCTCGGCGTGGGGCCCGATTGTGTCGGGCGAGTACCGTGGCGTCCCGGTGGCCTCGCGCAAGATTGCGCTCTGCACCGAGCGAGCGCTGCGTCTCCTGCTGGTCAAGCTCGAGGCCGTGTGGGCGCTCTCGCACGCCGCCATTGTCCCGCTTATGGGCGTGACGCTCGTCAAGGGCGGCATTGCGCTCGTGAGCCGCAAGATTGAAGGCGCAAGCCTCGGCAAGCTCCTCGACCGAGCGGACCTGCAGCCTGCGCCGGCCATTGCCGACCTGCCGCTGACGACCAAGCTCGCCATGGCGCGCCGGCTCGTCCAGGCGCTCGATCATGCCCACCAGCACAACGTCCGCTGCGAGTTCCTCGATGCACACTCGGTCCTTGTTCCGAGCAGCGATCCGGCAAGCGTGCAGCTCCTCATCGATGGTGGAGTGTCGGTGACCCGGTTCTCGGATGCGTACCAGGCGGCGACGCCGCCGCTTGCGGCAATCGAGCGCAAGGCCAAGCAGCTCCCGCTGCGGTCGGAGCGCGAGGTTCTCCGCGCCCTCTACCTCGCACCGGAGCTCCTGGACAAGTGGGTCAACGACGGGCTTGAGGAGGAGGAGCTGCGGTACACCAACGAGAGCGATGTCTACGCCATGGGCATGATCCTGTACCAGCTCTTTTCCGGCCTCGGCTTCCACTCGGCGTATGCCTCTGCACAGCGCCTGGTGTGGGGCCCCGCGTGGGCGGTCGATCTCGGCAAGATCGGCCACCCCGAGGTGGCAAGCATGATTGCCACCTGCCTTGCCCCGTCGCCGGCCGACCGGCCGACTGCCGTTGATCTGGACACTGTTGTCCGGACCATGGTTATCCGATGAATGAACTACGCGTGTTACTCTGCCACTCTACTCCTCCTGTGTCTCGGCCTGGGATTCTGCTGGCGCTTGCGCCTTGCTCTTGTCTTTCGACTTGGTCTTGGACTTTGATTTGTCTTTGGACTTGTCTTTGGACTTGGTCTTGTCCTTGGTCTTGTCCTTGGCCTTGTCCTTGGTCTTGTCCTTGGTCTTGCTCGCCTTCTTGTCTTTCTTGCCAGCCGACCCCGGTGTACCCGGCGTGCCTGGCGTGCCTGGTGTGCCCGGTGTGCCTGGTGTGCTTGGTGTGCCTGGCGTGCCTGGAATGCCCGGCGCGCCAGGTGTAGCTGGTGCGCTGGTGGCCGGCGAGGCCAGAGCGATCGGTGAGGTGTCAAGCTCGTCGAGGGCAAGCTTGGGTCGGGGCGCGGTGGTGGGCCGCGGCGGCGGGTCGGTAGTGCCAGGGGCGGGGAGGAGGAGGACGCGACTTCAGGATTGCTGTTGGCCTCGGCAACGTTCAAGCCCTCTCCCTCACTTGCGGCCTCGGGCTTGAGCCACGCGACTTTGTGCGTATCGGCATGGTAGTAGTAGTAGGCGTCGCGGGTGGCGTCGAGGACACGAATCCAGGCGGCGTCGGCGGCAGCAGCGGCAGCAGCAGCGGCGCGGGCGGCGCGCTTCTCATCGAGGAGTTGGCGAGCGTGGGTGAGCTGGTGGTTCATCTCGGCGAGCTCGTTCTTCGAAAAGGCGAGCTCGTCGCAGAGAGCAGGGAGGGCGCGAGCCGGGATGGGCTCCGACGACGCGGCGTCCTCACGCAGGTCGAGCGGCGGGAGGCCAAGCGATGCAGCGAGGGCGTTAAAGGCGAGGGTCTGGATCTGGAGGGTGGGTAGCGAGTCGGCCGAGGCAGCGCCGCAAAGCGAGGTGGGAAAGGCAACGCCGGCGTCGAGTTCAGCGCGGATGGCGTCTGCGGCGGCAGCGCGGGTGGCAGCAGACTCAAGGGCGGCGTCCGAGTCTGCGCGGCGGAGGAAGGAGGCAAAGACGCCCGCAAGCTGAGCCTTGCACGCCGGGGTCGGTGTGGCGATGAGGACCGAGACGGCGTCGAGAATAAGGGCAAAGGAGGCGCGAACAAAGCCCGGGATATCGCGGACGTGAACGAGCCAGACAGACGACCATGGCTCCTGGTAGAGGATGCGCGCCTCGCCCTGCTTGGCGAGGACGGCGCGGTAGACGACAATGCCGGTGTCGTGGCAGGCGAGGACGGCGCGGATGGGCGTCTCACCGAGCGACTCGGTGAGACGGACATAAAAGACGTGGGAGGGCGCGTCGGGGCGGTCGGCAAAGGGCGCGACGGCCTTGGCGGCGTTCCCACCCTTGGCCATGAACCCGCCGGGTGATGGCTCGTCGAGCCAAGGGAACTCGGGCTCGTCGTCCGAGTCCGAGTCGGAGAGCTCGTCGAGGACGTCGGTTGTCGACGTGGCGGCGGCCTCGCCCTCTGCGCGCGACGTGCCGAGCGACGCGTCGAGGTCAATGCCGAGCGCCACCTTGAACAGGTAGGTGATCCACTTTGTACGGTCCTCCTTGGACTCGGCGTGGAGGACCCAGGTTCGGTCCTGGGCGTGGATGGTAAAGGCGTACGGCTTGTTGAACTTGGACTCGGCAGCCTCGGTAAAGATGCCTGAGGTGCAGTCCATGGAGCCCTTGGGCTCGGTCGCCTCGGGCGACTCGTAGTAGTAGATCCGCTTGTCGTCGCGGAGCACGCACCACCGCCGCTTCCAGTTCTTCCATCGCCCGCCGCGCTTGAAAAGCCAGCCGCAGCGCTCGTCCTCGCCCCCGGTATCCCCCTCGCCGTCACACTCGCCGTTCTCGCCGCTCTCGCCGTTCTCGCCGCCGCCGTTTTCGCTGGCACTCGCCGCCGCAGCTGCGTTCTTGGCCATGGCCTGGACCTTGCGTAGCGACGCCGAGCTTGCGCGACGGACGCCGATCCGCTGCTGGAAGATCGAGGCCGAGGTCGGCGACAACTCCCCAAGCTCCGGTGAGCTCTCGCGCGAGCCGGGCGAGCTGCCGTCTCCGGCGGTGGTGGTCACGATGGACGGTGTGGACGGCGCCGAGCCGTTCCCGTGCTCAAGCAACGGGGCAGCGGTAGCAGCAGAAGTCTGTGTGGTAGAGGCAGCCTCCATGATGTTGACAAACTCGATCTCTGAAAAGTACTCCTTCTTGACATACTTTGCCTCGATCCAAGCCTCAAGAGTAGAGCGATCATCATGCTCGGAGGGATACTCGACCCAAGCGGGGATGTTTGCCTCGTAGACAGCAGCAGCAACTTTGTTTCCGATCTTCTCCATGGTCTCAACTTGGGCCTCTGTCCATGAATCCAGTTCAATGCTCCTCACTTGAGAGATATGAACACCAAGAGATCGATGAATGCCCGAGCATCGCGGACAGAGAAAAACGCCCAAGTTGACCGATGCCCACATAACCTCACGAGAGCCACATTCTGCGCAACGCGAGTTGGCTGACACCTGCAACAGCTTGCTCAGTCTTGCCTGGTGTTCTGCGTCATGTTTCGTAGACTTGTGAAGGGACATAGTTGTGGTGGGGGGGGGGCTTTTTTTTTTTTTTTTTCCCCCCCCCCCAAAAAAAAAAAAAAACCCCCGGGGGGGGGGGGG